GAGAATTTCTTTATGGCCAGCTCCAAGACAGAGGCAGAGGAAGATAAAGGAAGATGTCCAGATTTTGAGGCTGGTTTGGGGAGAAAAGAGACTCTACACTCTAGGCTCTGTCATCTACCTTGAGGAAGTGAAATTCTAGTTCTGCAACCTGCTCTAGCAGAGAGACAGGAAACAGGGCCCGGAGAAAGTCAAAGGCTTTGCCTCAGAGGCCTTCACTTTGGAGTAGCATTCTGTGAGCCCTAAGAGGGAATCTGAAGTTAGGTTTCTTTACACTCCTGGTCACAGTACTGTGTCAGATAGTCCAAGGCTTTATCATATGAAGATGCCTTATTTACTATCTGTGGTTGATTCATTAACGTGGAATGCATAACCAACAGCACTAGAGTATAACATGAGTGGAACTCACGCCTGAACTGAATCTAACACACTCGTTTCCTCTCTAAGGCACCTCGCAGGCTTTTTGTCCTTAGAATGCTAGCACAATAGCACTGTGCATGGGGGGCTTTGTGAAAAACAGACTCATGAATAAAAGGCACAAAAATACGAAAACATGGCACTGAGATCTAAAACAAAAAAGGCTGAGTGTGGCCTGGTTTGACCTCAGCTAGGATGTGCAGGGTGGGAGATTCGAGTATCTTGCTGCCCTGTGCACATCTGCAAATGACCACAAAAGTGCCACAGGTATTGGTTTAGGTGTACAGATAAATTTTAGTAAGTGTATATGCAAATAGAGAATCTGAATAATGAAGAGTGACTGTAGTAATTTTATTTGTTTGTTTGTTTGTTATCTTTTTGAGACAGGGTCTCACTATGCAGTTCAGGCTGGGCTTGAGCTTACTTTGTAGCCCAGGCTGGTCTTGAACTCACAATGATTCTCCTGCCTCAGCCTCCCCAGTGCTGGGATTATAGGTGTGTGCCACCACACCTGGCTATTTGTCTTTTTTACTCCCCATCAGATTGAATTTTAGACCATTATCATTGCAAGGAATGTGTAAAGCCAGCTCATTCAGCCCCCTCGTTTCACATAAAATAAAAATGTGTGCTATAAATTTAAATGTTGTATATTAAAACATCTTATAGCCCAATTAATCATAGAGAGCCTTGTCTAAATTAATGTAGTAGATTAGCTTCTCTTATAAAGTTGTTAAATTTTATTTATACCTTAAATGCTGCACTGTCATTTGATAACCAAAAGTAATTTCATCTAAAGGAAATCCTAAATGTGAAGTAACACGAGTAACAAAGTCCACAGATTAGCAAAATAATCTCTATCTCAGACCATCCTGCGAAGAGCATTCATCCTAGAACACGGATCTGAAAAATGACTAGAAGCTTCCTGCTCTGCCCAAGCAGAAGGCTCTGGGTCTTCTAGCAAATCAGTCACTTTCCCAGAATTGTATTTAACAAATGTGCTCTGATTATCCTCTCTCTGGCAACTCACTGGTCTTTGAAAGTTCTTCAAAGCACTTCCATGTAGACCTTATGACTGACTTCCTGGTCAGCTTTCTGCAATAGTGGGCCTCAGTTGCTGAGCAACCCCTTCTTTCCCAGCCAGATGTCAGGGATACCTCTGCCTTCTGATTCAGGTGGATCTCGCAAAATGATCTCAGATCTGTGTAATGAGGAGTACAGCCCAGCCCAGCTGTTGGCCCCAGCCCTGTAGCTTGGAAAGGAAACATTGTCCTGGAACGACAAGGGTGCAGGTGTCCCCCTGAAGCTTAGCTGGAGTTAGGTCTTCATGGTGGAAAGGAGAACCCTGACATGTAGTTGCTTCCTAGTTAGAGCAGAAAGGTAAGTGGAGAGTTAGAAGCCCCCTCCCCAGCTGCAGTAAAAGGTTTCAGCCCATGACCCAGAGAAATCTGTTCTTCCCTGCCAGTTGTTTAGTTAAAAATATTTATCTTTGCATGTTGCTCTGATGCCATAAGATTCTCAGAGCTGTGAAAGTGGAAAATTAGGAACTTTTTTTTTTACATCTTTATGCATTGGAGAAGACTAGAAGGAGGCTGCCGTATTGGGGGCCTGGATGGGAATAGTAGGATGTAGAGCTCTCCGCCTCAGCAGGTGCGGGGAGCGGCTCCAGAGAGCTTAGAGTGAATGGAGCGCATGTGGAAAGTAATGAAAATGTGGCTTGACTGAAGCAGCCTTTCTCTGTCATTAGGGATCTCTTTCAAGTCTGAAGTCTGCCTGGCTTAAACATTGATCAGGGATCAAAAGGTCCCCTGGGACCCTTTCACTTCTTGGGTTCCTCTAATGTCCTAGGAAGATGGCTCTATGTACAAGACACAGTTTCAGAATTTAATTGCAGAACAACCTTTTCAGTTCCCTGGGGAAATTTAAGATCTCTCTGAATCAGTTTCATGATTAAAGTAGAGTTTAACTGTATTCATGTGACAAAAATAACCCTTGCAGATTGTTCACCTACAAAATAAATTACTTTGCAGTTGACTTGCATTTTCTGTGTTATCTTTGAAATAATTATAGGATAGCGAATAATTTGCTTTTTAAAATTTCAGTTTACTACACTGACTTTTCCTTTCTGTCTTGGAGTTCCCTAAGTCCTCAAAAATGATGGCTTTTGATGTCTGGCTTCCCTACTTCTCCTTAGAGCTTTTGTCTGAAAAACAGGGTAATTTCATCTTGGCTATGGAAGCCTCCTCTTTTCTTAAGGAAATACAGAAGCCCCTGATTTGGTAGGTTAGGTGTATACATAATCTTTTTTTTTTTTTCTGTACCGGGAATTGAACTCATGACCTCATGCTTGCCAGGCAGGCGCTGTGCCGCTGAGCTGAATCCCCAGCCCCAAGGTTAGGTGTATAGAAGTACAGAAAGAATCCACTGGATGAGGGAAACAACTCACTGTCCTTGCTGTCGCTGGCTGTCTTGGCTCCCAGCTCCCCTCTAAAACTTACAGAAATGAGGGGTCCTGGTGGCCTGTAACTAAGTGATTTCAGTTAAGGGATTTCACATAAAAACTAATTGTTACAGTTACCCTTGTTCCCCAGGCAAGCTGTACCCCGGGGAGAGCTATGCCTTGGCTTTGAAAACCAACTCCATTAACTCCAAAAGAAACTGACACTGCCTACCCGCAGCCTGCCACCCTGGGGTGCGGCAGAGTGGATTTTTGTGCATGAAACTAGCCTGCCTGTCTCACCCAGCAGCTGGAGGCCATCACTACTAAGACCGATGCGAGCAACCCTCAGCAGGATGGTTTTTTTGTTGTTTTTTTTTCTCAAGGTGTTGGCGCTATGGACCAGGAGTATAGCAGTGGTGCAGACAAATGTTGGGATCTGGTTGTCTTTTATTTTACTCTGTTTCTGTTTGCTTAAATGATCAATGGGATGAAAACTCTCTTACTAGGATTCTAGGTCTATTGCTAGAGTGATTGCTTCTCCTGCCAGTTAGCAGAAAGTTGGGGTGGACGCAGTGTCTTAAGGCCTATGTCTCTCTTACACCTTGATCTTGTTAGACAGCCCCAGAAAAGTGTTAAAAATTTGACAGTTAAATCATTCTTGGCTCTTGAGATCTTGACTGAGAGCCACATTTTGAAACCCCAGGGCAGCATTAGTGAAATCTCTCCCACTGCACACGGAGGACCCCTAAACCCAGCGTGCCCAGTTTGCATTCCTGGTGCATAGAGCAGGTGAGCACCGTGTACCTGGAGGTGTACATGGGCCTTACAGGTCCTGGAACTCTTTCACCATGTTCTTCAACTGCCGCAGTGACGGGGCCCACTGGCCAGTAAACACAGACAGTAAAACGTGAAGAAGGCAATGAAAGAAGTCAGCACCTCTAAATCAATTTATAGTGCATGCAAAGCATGTTTTCAAATGTTTACAGAGTCGCTGTGGGAATTACATCACTGTTTCTAACTGTTTTGATTGTTTTTTATGACTCAGGCCCAGAAGAGCCGAGCGATGTAATTCCTGAGAGGCTCTGAGCACACGCTTCGGGCCTCCCGAGAGGAGTCAGGCATCATGGGAAAGTGCTCCCCACAATAAACCGACCGCCAGCCGTGTAGTGGGGGGTTATTAATGTGCTGCCGCGTGGCAGTTGGGTCTCCACCAAAGAATACCATCTTTCTTCAGGGTGCAGATCGTTCGGTGAGGGAGCCAGGTTTTGTGGAGATATGAGCTCTGGTGGCCCAGAACAGGCAGGAGGGCCCAACCCCAAGCTCAAGGAGGAGCCTTTGGGGACAGGCTGTGTCTGCTTTCTGTGTCGGAAAATCCTGCTGGAAATGACTCTTGAGTGATGAGAGCTTTGTGGTTTGTCCCAGGTTCCATCCCAACTGCCCTGAGTCTATAAAGAACCATGATCATCAGCTTCTGTCACAGGGCAGTAGAGGGAAAGGACCCCAGTCTATGCATGACAGCTGGAAGCAGGCCAGCTCCAACAGCTTTGGTCCCTTGGGTGTGGGTCCATACAAGCATCCAGGCAGGACAACATGGCGCAGAGCTTGAGGAAGAGGATGTGAGCCCCAGATGCTGTCTCCTGCTCCCAATAGCTGCATGACCTTGGCTGCAGTCCTTAAGTCGTCTCTGGATGAAATGGGTTAATCCTCATAAATGTTCAGATCAGTGCCTGTTGCTAGTCAGCTCAGGAATGTTTGCTCTTGTTGTGTAGCATTGTGACTTCTGTTTTCAAGAGTGGTCTTCGCAACAAAGTAAGGGGATGTTGAAACCTTGCATATCCCGGGCCACTGAGAAAGTGAGTTATTCATAAAAACGCCTTCAGAGCACCAAAGGGCCAGGCCCTTGATAGGCTGGCCCCAGTCTGCACAAGAACCCATTCTTTAAATCTCTGTAACCAAATTCCAGAACCACAAAGCCTTCTAGGGCAAGTGATAGAACTCAGAATGGAACATCCAAGCGTGAGCCTTCAGCTGCTCCCTGGGGATCCCCAGAGCTGCACCAAGGCAGGAGCTTGGGTGCTTGTGTCTAGTCCTCCATGTGTGTGAGACTCAGTGACTCAGCACCAAGCACTGAGCTCTTTCTCCTCCACAGGAGTATTCCTATAGTGCAGGTGCTGCGGACCACAGCCCTGACGAACGCCTGCGCTGACCACTCGGACCAGCGTGTGGTCCACTTGGAGCATGTGGTGGTCCGCATCTCCATCTCCCACCCACGCCGGGGAGACCTCCAGATCCACCTGATTTCCCCCTCGGGAACCAAGTCCCAACTTCTGGCAAAGAGGTAAGGCCGGAATTCTACGCCACATGAGGACCCCATCCGGGGACTCTGCAACTGTCTGAAAACTAGGCACGCGGGGAATCCTGCTTCCTGAAACTTCGTCTTTAAAACAATCCTGCAAAACTTTCGCTTTCAGGGAGAAGTGACAAAGGAGTTGTTGCTCTATTGCGTTGTGTAGTGGGGGTGCTGATGGGATTCTGGCTGTGCCTTCAGTGGTCTTGGAAGTGCGTTGAAAGTCATGTCTATCTCATTCAGTTGGCATTGGAAGCCAGTGTACGTAACCGGAGAAGCATCATCCCGTGCAGCACCCCACTCAGTGTGGGCCACCCCTTAAGACCTGCAGGGCTGGACTCTGGACTAGGGTGGGGTGCAGGGAAGGCGCTCCCAGGTGCTCTCTGTGGCCTTCTCCCCTAAATGCTAGCCCTCAGACACAGACCTGAAATTCTTGAAGCTTTGCCATGGTTTGTGGAAGACTCTGGAGTCATTTCTTTAACAAATTTAGACACAAGGACAGATGTTTGGATGCATTCATATGACTTGCAGGTAGACTGGAGAGATGGAAGGTGCTGGGGGAGAACTGCCTTTTTGTCTCTTCCTAGCTGAGAGTCAGAGAGAAGAAAGGGAAGGTTTCATAGATTCATGGACAAATCAGTATTTCTGGTATCTCTCAAAAACCAGGACTGGCAACTGTGCCCCCAGCCAGGAGGAAGCACCTGGGCTGGGCAGGCCCTGTCTGAGGAGTCCGGGTGACTCACTAGGGTTTCTCTGCCCTGATCTGGGCTGTAGGAAGCCTGGCTATTCAGAAACAGGGTGTTTGGTAGAACCTCTCATGTAGGAGTCCCCCTTTTTCTTAACTCCTTCTACTCAGCCACTTTACATAAGACAGAGGGTTTGGCCTGCTTTGCATAAGACAGCAGCAATGAAAGGCCACCAGGGCCACTGTCCCAAGGAGGGGGTGACTGTGCCGTACCCCACACCCCTCTTCCCAGCTTGCAGGACCAGCAGCCTGCAGGGAGGGTAGCAAGCAGCGGGTCCCAGCACCAACTCTGTCCTCGGTGAACTGGATCAACCCAAGACAAGACCCTGGTTTTATGGATTCTAGGAGCTTGGCCACCATGCTCCACCCTGACCGGCTCCCTCTTTCTTAGCAGAAGAGCAGAGTGGAGACATCTTCCCCTCCTGAATGCCGAGTCAGCCACCCTCTGCCTCTGCCTCTGCCTCTGCCTCTGCCTCTGCCTCTGCCTCTGCCTCTGCCTCTGCCTCTGCCTGTGGAGGCCATTGAGGGCATAAGCAGTTTGGGAGCGGAGCGGAGCGGGGCGGGGTACCATCCAGCAACTGAAGCTTGTTAGTGTTTTTCTCCCAGGAGATTTTTGTTTTGTTTTGTTTTGTTTTAATTTTTAGAGATTTTCATCTGAATGTGTGCTTTCTAGCCTTTCTTGAAAAACCAGAACCAGGTTCCTATTCCCTGCAAACCCTGGCCTGGAGCTGAGCAGAGGGGCCAGTCTGCCTCAGGGCTCCCCATGCTTCCTGCTTCTCACCGGAACCCCCGCTTCCATTCACTCCCTGCTGCTATCCACCCACAGGCACCCCAGTTGTGACCCCTGAAGGTGGTGGCCTGAACTGGCCAAGAGCCCACATGAGGCTTAGTAGCTGGGGTAACCGATGGCAGGGTGGCCAGGTGGCAGTGACCAGAGGGTGTGTGCTTTGGAGCCTGGAGACATGGGCTCCTACCCTGGCCGCCCCCACGCCGAGCTCAGTTCTTAGCACCCAGCCACTTGGCTCCTCTTTATCCTCCTCTGGAAAAGTCTTTCACTCATTTGTAAACATTACGACTGTTACAAGACAACAGTAATATTACAAGAATTGAATGTGATAATATAGATAAGAATGCTGGCACAGGTGCCTGGCTGCCCTTCATGTCCTACTGATGTCTGGCTGGCAACTGACCCTGCCAGCATCCCCATGCACCCCCGGTCTGCTTTTTCCCCTTATCATCTTGGTCCTTCTGCGTCCCCAGCCCAGTGTTGGAGCCCCTGGGATGGTAGAGAGCAGGGTCCGGGGTTTATTTGCGGCTACCTACTTGCAAACAGTACTTGCTGTCCCCATGCCATAAAGCACTTTAAAACACTGCCCTGAGGCCACTTGGCAGTCACTTGAGTCTAGGGAGTTTGTTGGGTTCCCCTCCCCCGAAGGCAGATTTTGTGATTATATCAAGAGTCTGGTTTTAGGATCTATTACCTTCTACTTACTTAATTCAGCATCTTTTTCAGGTTGCCAACTTTTTCACTGAGAGTAAGCTGACGTTCTTAAAGACCTTGCCACTTAAAAGCCTTTGTCCCTGATCAGTCCCCAGCTCTCAGCTCCTGCTTGGCTTTGTGTGTGAAAACCAGCCTTGACCTTGGCAGTTTCTTAGTAGAAGACACAGAATACTTTCCTCCCAACTAGTCTCCCTGCAAAGAATGTTCCTTTGATCAACATCTTTATACACTGACGTTTAGAGAGCCCCCAAGCTGGGAGCAGAATCTCCTCGCATCACACAAAATTTACATATTTAAATTTCTGATGAGCAATAAAAAGCCCTGTGTTTAAAAACTGTTATTCCAAAATAGAGATAGAAAATTAGACTACGAAGGAAGAGAAAGAGAACTGAAGAGCTTTGAGTTATTCCCTTGAGCCCGAGGACACAGGGCCTCGGGAGACAGAAGATGTCAGTTAGTTGGTTTCTGTTTCTACTTGACCTGAACATGGGAACCAACAGAAGCTGAAGGCCCAGGGTTGAGGAGGGTAGTCACGGAAGATCTGCGCTCAGCGGTGGGTGCAGGGAGCCTCCTCCTTCTCCTGCTAGGCCCAGAGGTGTCTTCCACCCACTCTGGAGTACAATCAGACCATTTTTGTCATCTCTTCCAAAGGCAACCTAGGAAATTGGTTCAGCCGTGGAGATTCAGGGGCAACACTTTTCTCCCAAGTTTGAGTAATTGTTTGTTTTTACTTATTTGCAAGAACAGCTCACAGTCTGGCTCTAAAACAAATGTGGATGTATCATTCACTACACAAACGTGCATTTTCAAAAGGCTTCCTTAGCCAGGTGTGGTGTTGCAGGGCTGTCATCCCAGCACTCGGGGAGGCTGAGGTAGGAGGATTGTTGCAAGTCTGAGACCAGCCTGGTCTGCAAAGTGGGCTCAAGGCCAGCCTGAACTGCACAGCGAGACCCTGTCTCAAAAAGACAAAATAAGTAAATAAAAGGCTTCCTTTGTGAGCACCTTCCAAGTTTACATGAGTCATGTAACCCAGCGTCTGTCTGCTTTTGTGCATCTGGGCACCGAGTGTATGTGTTCTGTGAGATCAGTGCTGGGATGGGCGGGGAGCAAACACCTTCTGCGGGAAAGTGGCAGCGTTGAGGGCATTGGTGGGTGACCTTGTAAACACCTGCTGATGGCAGGAAGAACACAGAAGAAAAGGTCAGAATGTCCCCTTTTTTTTTTTTTTGGTTTTTCTCCGGTACCGGGAACCAAACTCACGACCTTGTGCTTGCCAGGCAGGTGCTTTTGCCGCTGAGCTAAATCCCCAGCCCCTAGAATGTCCCCTTTGAGTCCCAGCTCTGCTGGTTACTGGCCGTGGGACCCGTAGCAAACCAGTATACCTGGGGTATCTCTTCTGACTGGGAAGAGATTACTGGGACCAAGACCCTACCTTTGACTGGGTGTGTTGAGGCCTGCCTGCCTTCCTCTCCAGGTGATAGGGAGGTCCAGTGAGGTAACAGAGGTGCATGTCAGCCACCGAAAATATCAACACGCGATCTGTGACCTTTACCTTTCCCTCTTTCTCCAGCCCCGCCCAGGGGTGTGCTTCCACCTGACGGGGCAAGCTTCTGAGGAACCCTTCCTCCTGGGCCAGACGGAGCCCTCCTTGAGCCGCATCCCTCCGCCTGGCGTTTATTTTCTAACACTGCATCTCCAATTGCAGATTGCTGGATTTTTCAAATGAAGGATTTACAAACTGGGAATTCATGACCGTACACTGCTGGGGAGAAAAGGCTGAGGGGGAATGGACGTTGGAAATCCAAGACCTGCCGTCCCAGGTCCGCAACCCAGAAAAACAAGGTCAGTTGCACTTCGGCATTTTATAACAACTTCATGTGTCAACCCTTTTAACCCTAGGCCTTTATTTAACTACAGTGTCTCTAGTAAATCTTTGTTTTGTGGAGGTAAAATTCACATAGCATACAGTTCATCGTCTTACTCACATTAAAGTGTACAGTTCAGTAGTTTTTAGTATATTTTCAGTGTTGTGCAACTATCACTACTGTCTTAATTCCAGAGCATTTTCATCCCTTGCAGAGGGAACCCCATATACATCAGGCAATCACTCCCCGTCCCCTCCTCCTTCCCTGGTCCCCAGTAATCCCTAATCTAACTTCTGTCCTCATGAATTTCTCTCTTCTGGATATTTTCTACAAATGGGATCATACAGTATGTGACCTTTTGCATCTGGCTTCTTTCACCTAGCATCCTTTCACAGGCTGCCCATGGCATAGTACACATCAGAACTTCATTATTTCCATGGCCAAACATATTTTATTGTGGGTATGTACCATTCATTGCTTCATCCACTGCTGGATTTTTGGGTACTTTCTATCTTTCCACTGTTGTGAATAGTACTTGTATGAACTTCCTTTTTTTTTTGTATGAACTTTCATGTGCAAGTTTTCATGTGGATATGTTTCATTTCTTTTAGTCATACATGTACCTACATATGAAATTGCTGGGTCGTAGGGTGACTCTTTGTTTAGCTCTTTGAGGAGCAGCCAAACTTTTACCACACTGATTACACCACTTTACATTCCACCAGCAATGTGTGAGAGATCCGGTTTCTTCACATCCTCGCTAACACTCATTACTGACTTTTCTTAAAAAAATAGCTATTCTTGTAGGTGTGAAGTGGAATGTGTGGTTTAGGTTTGCATCTCCCTCATGACCAATGATATTGGGCATCTTTCTGTTTTCTTATTGCTCATGTATGTATCTTTCTGGAGAGAGAATGATTGAAACCCTTTACCCATTTTACAAATGGGATCATTTGCCCTTTTCTTATTTAGTTGTAAGAGTTTTATCAGATACATGATTTGCAAGTAATTTTTCCCATTCTCCGGGGTGTCTTCTTCACTTGAGTGGCTGTATTAGTCAGCTGTCTTCTTGCTGGGATGAAGTACCTGACACTGCCAGCTTAAAGAAGGTGAGGTTTATTTTGACTCATGGTTTCAGGTGATTCCGTCCATAACGAGCTAGCCCCATGGCGGAAATGGCATGATAGAAGGGCCTAAGGGGGAAAGTTACTTAATCATTGGCATCCAGGAAGGAGAGAGAAAGAAGGATGAGCCAGAGCAGGAGATACACCCTCCAGTGCATCACCTCCAGTGACCCATCTCCACCCAGTGCACATTCAATTATGAACTCATAAATGGATTAATCCACTGTTAAGTACACACCCCCATGATCCAATCACCTTCTAAAAGCCCCACCTCGAAACACATGAGACTTGTAGTGGACTTTCCAGATCTAAACCATAGCAGCAATGGTGTCCTTTAATGCACAGAAGTTTTTAATGTTAATGAAGTCCAGTTTATTTTTCTTTTATTGCTTGTGCTTTTGGTGCCGTATCTTCAAAATCATTGCGTAATCCAAGGTCAAAAAGACTTCTGTGTTTCCTTCTCAGAGTTTTATAGTTTTAGTTCTTACATTTAAGCCTTTGATCCACATTGAAGTAATTTTTATATGGTATGATGTAGAGGTCCAAATTCATTCTTTTGCATGAGGCTCTCCAATTATCCAAGCACCATGTGTTGAAAACACTGTTTTTTCCCCGTTGTGTGATCTTGGCACTCTTGTCCAAATTAGTCAGGACTCTGACATCTGTTCCATTGGTCTATATGTCCTTATGCCAGTAACACACTGTTTGGATTGCTGTAGCTTTGTAGTAAATTTTGAAGTCAAAATGTGTGAGTGTCACTACTTTTGTCTTGTTTTTCAATAGTGTTTTGTCTTCTGGGTCCCTTGCAAAGCTATATGAGTCTTAGCATAAATTTGTACATATCATATTTTTAAAATGTTGAAATTTTGATAGCAGTTGGATCTGTAGATCAACTTGGGGAATCCTGCCATCTTAACAATATTAAATCTTCTAATGCATACACACGGGATGCTTTTCCATTTATTTGGCTCTTCTTTAACATTGTTCAAAATGGTTTTTGTAGTTTTTGGTTTGCAAGTTTTTCGCTGCCTTGGTTAAACGTGTTCCTGAGTATTTTATTCCTTTTAGTGCCATCGTAAATGAAATTATTTTCTCAGTTTTTGTTTTGGGTCATTTCTTCCTCTGGTAAGTCTTGTACCCTTTCATAACTGCTTTGTTAACATTGATGGTGTATTCAGCCAATCTTTACTGAATGCCTTCCATGGGCGAGGCACTGAAATAATCCCCATATCTTATCCTGTCCTCATCCTCAGAGATCAATAAACTCTTCCTGTGGCCGTCTGTAGATTCATAGTAAAATACATGAACTATACTGAAGTCTTGCTTTTCTGTGGAAGGGTTTCCCCAGGTTTGCCTTCACTGTTCTGTTGCTCCCTGTGCCCTTCTCTGTGAATATGCCACCCATTTCTTGATCTCCTCAGAGGTGTGCAGGATCCTCTTCTTGCCCTGGTTCTTTTCCAGTTCTCGGTGACACACAGCTTCATGGGAAGGGGGAAGGAAAAAAATAATATTGACTTTCCTTAAGCAGCAAGCTGACTTTAAATTATCAAGTCATCTATAGGATTCTAGCTCTCAAAATCACTTTCTTTCTGATTTTAAAAATAACTACAATAAAATAGTTACTATCACAAATTCTAAAAATACAAAAGTGTAAAGTTGTAAATGACTTGAAATTTACTTATGTTAAGAGTCGAAGCTCCTCAGTCCTTTCCCTTAAAAGCCCCAACGTCTATCAGCCTACTGTCTGTTCAAAAGTCGAGGGGTGGCTTCTTGTGCCAGCTGCGTCCTCAAGCGCTCGCCACTCTGTGGGCACTCCACCGCTTCCCTGCCCCCGAACAGCCGCTGCACCTGCTTGTCCAGAGGCTGGCTGTGTAGACAGGACTGTGGACGCTGATCTTCTCCTGTACTCTGCACACATGCTAGGATTTAGCTGTGGAGAGATGGGGCCACACAGCAGGACTGCGCTGCTGTAGGCTTTTCTCCCACATCTCTGCCCTGGTGAATTCCCCTTGACTCTTGACTCCAGCCGCTGCTCTGCTCACTCAGCCCACTCCTGTCCACATCACCCAGGCTGGGGCTGTTCAGGGTCCCTCACAGTAAAGGTCAACGTCCGGGTCTCCTACAGAGCTACCCTCTCTGCTGGCCACATGGGCAGTGGTTAAGGCTGTGGAGCTTGGGAACAAAACTCTTGCGAACACCTAGGAGCCTGGGCAAGTCACTTAGCCTTTCTGGGCTCTGCCTTCTCATTTACACAATGGGACAATGGCGTCCACGTTGTGGAGTTGTAGTAGCACAAAATCACTTCGTACAGGGAGGGTGCTGAGGGCAGGGCGTGGCACGCAGTGGCCCCGGCAGCATGTGCCTGCTTCTTGAAGCACCTCCCGTGCCTTCCCCTGCCCTGTCACCCGCAAGCTGCTCCTGCTGGCCTCCTTGATCCATCCCTCACTCACAGCCCCAAGCGTGCTCCTAGGCCCCTGCTTCAGCTTCCTTCCCACCCAGGGGTCTCATCCAGCTCCACTCAACACTCCCTGGCGACGGTGCCCAAAGGCTGCTGTCCACACCCCCGCTGGAGCCCGGCCCCGCTCTGCAGCAGCCTCCACAGCTTCTGCACGTGGCTCTCAGCGGCTGTTCTCCGCGCACAGAACTCCGAAGCAGCTCCTCCCGTTCTCCCCCGGAACGAGCATAGCCCACTGCCTGCTCTCTTGCTCACACAAAACCCAGGAGTCAGCCTTTTCTTCTGCTGCCTCTTGCCTGTCTCTCTGCCTCTGCCCCGCTCCCTGCCACCTTTAGTTCCTCCTGCCCTGGGCTTTCCTGCCTCTGCCTGTGGTGACTCAAGCAGCTGATGAGCCCTTGATATACACTTTAGATGGCCTTACACCCCTGCTAACCATGCATGACCTCCCACGGTTTTGTTTTGTCTTGTGTTGTTTTTCGCAGTACAGTACTAAGGGTGGAACCCAGGTTCTTCACACCAAGCTACGTCCTTGGCCCTTTTTGATTTCTTTTTTAATTTTAAGATAGGTTCTCACTAAGTCATTCAGTTTCCCAAGCTGGGCTGGAACTCACAGTCCTCCTGCCTCAGCCTCCTGGAGTGCTGGGATCACAGGCAGGTGCCACTCTGCCTAGCTGGCCTCTCATCGTTCAGAGAGCAGAACCTTCCTCTCTTAGCGTGGCCTGCAAACCTGCCAGCACTTTGCCTGCCTATTCTGTTTCCTCTTCCCCACCACCCTTACCTCCCTCGGTTCCCTGAACATGTGTGGCCTGACCCCCCACAGGGCCTCTGCTTCTACTGCTCTCTCCTCTGGAAGAGGTTGTTCTACCCTGTTCTTCCCGTGGTTGCAGCTCAGACCTGGCCTCCATGGCTTCACTTGAACATTGCGGTCGATGTCCTGCTTAGCTTTCCCATCCCGTGTTACTTCTACAAAAGCAGAGGTTGAGATGACAATGAGAAGGACTAAAAATTTGCTCCTATCCCTCTTCTGCACTGGATGGGGCACAAAGTGGTAATAGATTTCAATTCTTAACACTGATAGGGACATGTAAAATCAAAAACTTTGTGTGATATGGAAGAAAAATTTGAAACAAGGTGCAAACCATCCAGATCACCACAGGAAAATAAGAGTGAAGAAAAATTGATCTGTGTGCCAAAGGATGAAAAGAACTACAGGCACATTTGAATAGGTCCACAGAAACCCTACATAACACAGCGGAAGTGGCATTCATTGGCGTATTCAAAGAATAAAACTCCCTTCCATTCAGCCTTCATTCAACAAATATTTACTGGGTGTGGACTAGGTTCTGAGTGCTGGGGACAGAGTGGTGACCACATCAGACACCGAGGTTACATTCTAGT